GGAGCTGATCTTAGGCACTGTAAAGATGAGATCGCTGAATAGTGAGCACGCACGTGGACAGATGCACGGCTCCATAGCTGACCACATAGAAGTGGAGACTGATGGTCCGCTCCCTGGACAGGGGTGGGGAAGGCATGGCTTCCTGTTTACGCCGAGCATAGTTTGGGCAAGTTATCATTACCCTGTGTCTCTGGTTTAGCTTGGCGAGGCTTCTAGGAGGAATGGAATTTTAGAGCTTTAGAGCCACATAAATATGCATGTAGAAAAGACTTTAGATGTATACACTGCCTCCCACATTCCACACGTGGAGAAACTAAGACCCACCCAGGGAAACTAGTTGAGCTGGATGTGGTGGCACACACACCTATCATCTCAGCACTCGGGTTGTGACGGAGGGATTCCTGCAAGTTCAGTGAGAGCCTGTCTCAAACAAAACAAAACAAAACATTAAAAAAAAAAAAAAAAGGAAGGGAGGGAGAGAAAAGAAAAGGAAACCAGTTACCCAATTTTACTAACCAAAGATATACACACTAGTCAGAACTTCTGATCAGCCTAAGATCTCAGTAGCGTTAAAAAGACAAATTTTAGTTGAGTTCAATTTAATAGGGTTTAACTGAGCCCAGAACGATTCATCAGCTGGGCAGCCCCCTGAAGCAGGACAGGTTCAGAGAGGGCTGGATTGGGCAGAGCTTGACGTTTGCCTCATATAGACCTGGCCTGATCAAAGTTCAGCTGCTGTGCTTGGCAGGGACTCAGCTATGTATCACAAAAGCATACTTCTAAGGCCTTCACTTAGGTGTTACATGGGGACTCAAGGGACGGGGCATCCTCAGGCCAGGTTTAGTTTAATTAGACACCAGGTTGCCATAACTATAGAGTGAAGAAAACCAAGGGTGATACCACCTCAGCTTTTTGAAAGTCAAAGATACTGTTTGCCTCCCTCTCTCCCTTGTCACCTCTTATCTTTGGTTTTGCTTTCTGCACTTTCAGTTAGCCAAGGTCAACCAAGGTCTGAAAATCTTACATGGAAAATTCCAGAAATAAATAATTCACAAGTTCAAATAACTTTTGCTGTAATATGTTGTTATAATTGTTCTATTTTATGATTAGTAATCATTAATCTCTTACTGTGCTTAATTGATAAATTAGGTATATATGAGTAGGAGAAAAGTTAGAACATACAGAGTTTGGTACCATCTGTGGTTTCAGGTATCTGCTGAGGGTCTTGGAACATACTCGCGGCAAATAAAGGAGCTGACTGGATTAGTAACTTCAGAGATCCTTCGAGGCTCTTTGGAGAACCCAGGCTGGGAATTACTATGCAGCATAATGAGGCTTTCTCAAGATCCCTCAGAGCTGTCAGTGCCAGGGAACCAATGTTACTTTAGATGTGGCATCGAGGGACCTCCCCCTTTCCCCACCTCTCTGTCTTCTTCCTCATTTAGTTCTCCCATATGCCACAAGACAAATAATAGCCTTGTTTGTACTGTTTAAGACTAGACTGATAACAACCTGCTGTTCTCTTCCTTCTATAAGTCAAACACGGTTTTGAACCTAAATTGAGTTTAACAACAAAAGGATATTTTAGATCAGTGGCACACAGAAATTCAGACCAAATTTTCTTCAGTCAGATATTGGCAAAAGAATTTTAACACATTAAAAAAAATGTTCTCTTTCTAACTGGATAGGGTTTACAACCTGCCCTGCAGCCAGGCATCTGGAAGCAAACCATTGACACAGCGATTCTCAAGATTTGTGGTTCTCAAGGTTTTCGTTTCATGGTTCATTGAGGAAGCCGTAAACTGAAGCCTGCTGCTCACAGCCCCTGGGAGTGCTGGGCCTTTAACCTGAGGGAACCAACGTCTTGGCACACCTAAAACCCATGTGCAGTTCTCCAGTTGAGAAGGTCCAGATTAATACCATTAACGAGAAAAATACAAACAAAAATCTCATGATTATATCTTAGTAAGTAGCAAGGGAATCAATACAGGTGAATTCTTGTTTCTGACTAGAATCTTATAGGGTGGTACTCAGGGAATGTATCCAGTGTGATCAAAATATAGAGCGAGTGTTTACATTTTAAAGTTGATTACAGTCAGTAAAGGTCAGACTTCCATTAATCCCCCTCAGAATACTTTCCCTCACTTCAAATACACTTATCATTCTATCCAGTTTCAGAAGCAGTTCTGGAAGTCCTGTTTTGTGTCTCTATGAAGCATGATAAAAAAAAACAAAAACAAAAACAAAACACAAAAAAACAGGGAAGGCTATGGCTGAGTGCCATCCAGCGGAAAGACAGACTCGTGAAAACATCCCAGTGCGTCCTCATCCACCTTATTCACTGGGTCTGGCACCACGGTTTTTCTAGCTTTTCCCCAAAGTCAAAATGACCACAAAAGGTAATATTTTGAGTCAGTTCAGAACACAAAGGCAGCCACGATAGTAAAACTAAACACAGTCATGAAAGAAGAGTTCCAGAACTGCTTCAGAAATGGGCAGGAGTGGGACAAGTGTGTTCAAAGTGAGGGGAAGTGTTTTTGAGAGGGATTAATGGCAATGTGCCTTTTGCTGTAACAAGCTTAAAAAAAAGTAAACATTCACCAGATTTTTCAGTTATACTTCATATCTTTAAAACTTGTGTATAAACCTTGACTGAGACCCATCCCTTCCAGTGCCTCTGCTGCCAGTGTCTGTAGCCTGAATCCCCCGGCTGCACGGTGGCTGGAGGCTGTGGAGGTGCTTGCTCTCTGGAAGGCTTATTCTCGTTTATTCTGCTGTGCTCAGATAAAGGTCTCTTGAGTCATCCTTTCAGACTAGTGGTGAGAACTGAGAGAGGCGCTGGTCCTTGTGCCTGGTCAGGAGGCAGCTGGACAGATTGGCCCGACTGTCCTGTGTGTCTATTCTGTTGTCCAAGCATGTTTTACCCCGACAACCGCAGCAGAAACATGCCCAGCCGCAGCCCTCCTGGTGATAAACTCAGAGAACCAGCCACGGTGCCCTGCTGAAAGCCCAGCTGGCTCTGCATCTTTGTGTCCACAGCTCACCCCAATGGGACACAAAGTTCCTGCCTCTCAAGAGCCCTCCTCCACTGTCCCCACAGAAGGGCTTAATCTTTGTAACAAGGGCTCAGCATCAGTTTGTATTTAGTGGATATGATGGGGTGCTCTGGGAGCTGCACGAGCCACTTACAAATCTGTTTGCCTTTGGGAAAGTGCTGGACATCCGGACACTCTCAAAGGAGGGGCTCTAAAGGGGCCCTCAGGTGTCTCCAATTCAAGACCAACCCATAAAGGAAATTCTTATTGACTGTAAGTGTCCTCAGCCCAGTGAGACAAATGAGGGCTTTTCATAGTAGATTTATCTAAGTAGGGGAGGGGAGGGACAAGCCCTCAGAATTTCCCCTTCTATTACTTTAGCTGACTTAGACCCACATCAAATGTAATTAGACATGAATGTTCACTTTATCATAGAAAATGGCGACTTGCTGTTAGGGTATGTTTTGGGTTTGGAAAATTGCATCCTTCTCTTTCACTTTGGGTTGGCTTATACTTACTAATTCTTGAACCTCCAGGAGAGTCCAGGCTAATTGAGGCTCGACCAGACCTGCCGCAGGCTCCTTCCCTCCTGGGCCAGTGGTTGGGCCCAGGACTTGGCTTCCAAGCTGAGTTTCTTAAGATGGCATTGGGATGGGGGTGGTGGCAGGGTCCTCTTTTATTCATTGAATATATTGGGCTGGGGAGCAGGTCTTTATTTGAAGAAAAGATTCCAAGGCTAACAAAAGTTCTGAAAACCTCCACCTTAGACCATAAACTGTTGCTGTGAATGTCTATGCATGTGTGTTAGTTCTCACACCACCTCCCTGTGCTCTTTTTGGTTTACTGGAATTTTTTAAACTTGTGTGTCAAACACTAAAAAATATATACAAAACAAGTTCAGCACATCTGCTATGAGTCCCCTCCTGCTCTGTTCCTCTGAAGATAGCGAGTTGACAGGTATATGCCACGCCTTTCTCTGTCCGCTTTGTAGCCTTTGAACATTCTTCACTGCAAATAATTTCAAACATAGAAACCATGGAGAGGGATACAATCAAACCTATGTACCCCCCACTCACCTGCTCTCATCTCCTGCAGTTATCAAGATTTTTACAATAGTAAAAATAATAGGTAATAATAAGACCTACCTGGAAAACAACTTCTAGCATAATTTTAGAAAAGTCTCTAAAATCACGCGAGGTGAGGTGGTGCACCTCTGTAATCCCAGCACTCTGGAGCCTGAGGCAGGAGGATTGCTGTGAGTTCGTGGCCAGCCTGGGTTTCATAGTGAGACCCTGTCTCCAATAAACAAATAAACAAATAAATCACACTAGAACTTTTTTCCAGGGAAATGTGGTCTTGCTTTATTGCATCTCATATAGTTTTGTTTTACAAAAAATGGTTTCATAGTATGCATTCTACTTGGCAACGTGTTTTTTTTTTTTTACTTAATTAGCTGTCTTAAAAATCATTCCATATCTGCCCACTTTCCTTTTAATGGAATGTAGCTTTTTCCCCATTGTACGCGTGAACTGTTGTTTACAACGTTCCCTGTTTTTTGATATATAAGCTGTTTCCACAATTTTTGCTTTCCTACAAAGTGCTACAGTAAATGTCCTTGTTCACGAGTCTATGTATTGGTGTTTTTATTTCTGTAAGATAGATTTTCACTTGCCTATGATGTAGGATGAGAAGACATATTCTCAGAAGGCATTAGATGCTGCCCCCTGCACACATGCATGTGCCCATTTGCTCTTGTGCTTTCCAGCTCTGAATGCTGCTGCTCATTTGAAGTGTGAGTCCTTTTCGTAAAGAGATGGCATAAACCTGACATCTCTGTTTGTCTGTGAGTGGGTTCCTCTTCTGCACTGATCCTGAAGATGACCGCATTGCGATCTTGACTTGGGAACGCCTGGGGCGCGGGGAGCAGGAAGTGTCTGGTAACATGGGCTGCTCTCCATCCCTCAGTTTGCACAGCGGAAAGGCACTGGCCGAGTGGTGCACATCTGCAATCTCCCGGAAGGAAGCTGCACGGAGAATGATGTCATTAACCTGGGGCTGCCCTTTGGGAAGGTCACGAATTACATCCTCATGAAGTCCACTAATCAGGTAGGTCGGGCACCTTCACTGCAGCGGGGGCAGGATAGACCACACCTTGGTGAAAGGGAAATTTCAGCAATCTTTTTTTTCAGAAGTGGTTCTTAGCATGAAGAGATAGTGCCCAGCTGGATCTATTGGCATTGCACACGGTTTCTTGTTGAGGCTGTTGTTTTGTTTCCCTTTTTGCCTCTGCCCTTCTTGTGCCAAGGGAAACCTCTGCGAATTGCCTGGAGGAGAGGGGTGGTGCATTGGATGAGATGCTCATTAATGCAGACAAGCTCCTTGGCCCAGTAGAAGTCCCTGGGCTCCAGTCACTGCTGGGTAGCCACGCCCCTGAGCTAAGGCTGTGGTCTCATATTCGGAGCTAGCTGTACCTGGTGGCCTGGGTCTGGGACCAGCTGAGAACTGACTAAGAACTGAGACTTGGTCAGGTCTTTGGGGTCTGTGCTCCGGGCCTTGGGTCTCAGAGGAGGAAATCAGGTGGGGGCCCAGTCAGTGTCAGAAACTATGAATCCCTAACCTGTGGGAGTGGTGTAGACACTTATGTGTCAGAGGAGGAAATCAGGTGGCCCCCCAGTCAGTGTCAGAAACTATGAATCCCTAACCTGTGGGACTGGCTGAGCCCCAATTATGTGTGTCTTCTCTTCTAAAGCCTAAGGGGAAATATGTACAGCAAATGACCGGAAATCAGAATATTTGGGTTTTTAAAAAATTTTAATAAATATATTTTTAATTGAGTTTATTGGTACATTTAAGGTATACAGTACAATTACGTTCATAGTTGGGATCTTGTGGCTTTACATGACAGGTCTTGGTTCTCATTTTTTCCCCTGGTCCCTGCCCTCCCTTCACCCCCTCCTCCACTCAAAATATTTTTGTTTTGTGAATCCAAACAACAGGCAGAGATGTTCTTTTCTTAACTAAAACTAAGCGATGAAAAAGCCCTGGCAGATTGCTAGTGGTCTCCCTCCCTCAGTGTGAGTGTAGAATAGGCCCTGGTCTCGTGTTCCTGCCTCTCAGGGTTGTATTTTGGGTAGACATACGAAGTTCAGCTTGCAACATTACTGCAGTGAGATTGCCTACATTAGTATTATCTGCATTTGAGGAGTGAGAGCTAGAGATGCTCAGGACTCATCCTAAGCAAGAGGCAGCCAGGCATAGAGGGACACACCTGCATCCCAGCACTTGGGGTGGTGGAGCAGGAGGATCTCGAGATGGAACTCAGCCCAGGCAACTTGGTAACTTCGCAAGTTCTGTCTCAAAATTGAAAATGCATTTTTGAAAGAGCTGGAGATGTATCTCGATGTGAAGGCCCTGGTTCACATCCAAGTATTACCCCCCAAAGAAGCTCTTTTCTAGAAAGTTGGTGGCAGAATTTGAAATAAAACCCTAAAGGATCTTTAGTCACAAACACCCTGCCATACATAGGTGGTAACAATATAGAAAAAAGCTGTGCATCTGAAATTGACCAATAAAGGGCAGTGAAAGAGGATGAATAAAATTGATTTGCCCAGCCGGGCATTGTGGTGCATGCCTGTAATCCCAGCAACTCTGGAGGCTGAGGCAGGAGGATTGCTATGAGTTCAAGACCAGCATGGGCTACATAGTGAGTTCCAGGTCAGTCTCAATTACATAGTGAGACCCTGTCTCAAAAAACAAACAAACAAAAATTGATCTGCCCATTCTGTTCAAGAAAATAGGGGAACTGAAGCTCACAGTAAGAACTCCCTTGTCACGGATCACTTTTTCTTCTCCACACTGAGACCAGAATCCATGCACATCAACACAGCACAAAGCAAACAAATCCAAGGAACAGTAACAGTGACAAACACACCTTAGCAACCTGGTAAGATCCATCAAGGCAGTCTACTTACCAACTGTAGAGACATACTAAATGGGAAGGCCTGCTTCTCTAAAAGATTTTTGGTAACCAGAACAGGTCAAGAGGAAAAATTTTGTGGAAGAATTGTCGAGGCCTGTCCTTTGACTCACAATACTGCCCAGGTGTCCTTCAAGCCTAGGAGCTCCTGAGCCCCTGAGTTGGGGAATATATTTCTCTCTTTACAAGACAGGGGAGAGTAGAATTCAAGTAAGTATGGCTTATGCCTCTGTCTCCTGCTGTCACTACTACCAGACAGCGGGACGGCCACATGTGGTACAGCCCTCACTGGGTAGTGAGATGATGGCCCGCCCACAGCAGACAGGCTTCCATAGCGTGATGCGGCCCAGGACGGACATCCGTAATTGAGAATGGTGTTTGGTAACCATGGAGATCAGGAGAGGCCCATTTTATAATGAGCTGTTTGGGTGAAGTTAATAAAAAGGCCTCTTTGAACAGATGAGACCAAAGAGCACTCTTTCTTGTACTGATTTCTTTTATTGAGGTATTAAAATAGATACTCTCAAGTACATACAGTATAGGAGTCTGAAGTCTATAGCTCCAATAATTTTGTTCACATACATAAGCCCATGTAATTAACACCAGGTGAAGATCTAGGAAACTCCCAGGACATCAGAAGGTGGTGTCCTTACGCCCCTTCCCAGTCACTTCCCCACCTCCACCCCAGAAGGAAGCTCAACTAGTTTCCATCAGCATCGGTTCATTTTCCAGTTCTTGAACTTCACCGACATGAAATCATACCTTGAACAGTTTTGTTTAAGATCACGAAGTCAAGTCCAGTGTATGTCCTTTCTGTCTTTGCAAGGCCTTTTTGGAGATGGCTTACACAGAAGCTGCCCAGGCCATGGTCCAGTACTATCAAGAAAAATCTGCTGTGATCAATGGTGAGAAGTTGCTCATTCGGATGTCGAAGAGATACAAGGAACTGCAGCTGAAGGTAAAGCGTTCTCTCACTCGCTCAGTCATTCATCAAGCATCAGCTGAGTTTTTCCTACTTGTCGGGTGCTGAACTAAAGGAGATGATAGGAAAAGATTCAGAAATTAGTCACTGCTTTGAGGCTATCACGTGGAAAAGCAAATCATTACACTGCGGCTTGAAAGGTGTTTGTCTAGGTGAGTACAGAACGCAAAGGGAGCTAAGGAGGATTTTACAGGGGCGATGTCTACAGAGGTCTTGAGGGAGGAAGTAGGAAGAGAAAGGTGGTCTTTTTGGTGAGGGGAGTTCCGGGCATAACCCCCAACTACAAGCTCTTCTGTGCCCGTACAAGCCTTCGATGACATTTCCTTCCTCTGTCACTCCCTTTGACCTCTTGATCTTTCCTCCCTTCTCTGGGTTTCTGTCTTAAGCCCCGCTGGAACTCCCGAGCAGCACGTGACTGGCTTGGTGACCGTCAGAACTCAGGGATGAATTCGGATAAGTTCAGACAGGACTTTGTCTTTATCGTGGCTTACTCTGCATTCCGTCCTTTCCTTTCCTTTCTTTTTGGTTTTATTGAGAAGTATAATCGATATGGAAGAGTGGCTAATAATATATTGTACAATTTAAAAAGTAGTATTGGAAGAGATCTTATACCTTCTGCAAAACTGCCACCGAAGTCAGGAAATAGAATGGGGACCATACCCAGGAGCCCATGCGAGTCCTTCCTCCTGTTCAGCCCTTCCCCCTCTACTCTCTTGACCTTGAGGGTGTTCATTTCCATGCTTTTCCTCCTACTCATGCCTCCCAACAGCACAGTTTACTTTTGTCTGTTGTTGTACTCTACAAGAATGGATTCACACGGTCCACTTTCTTTCCATTCTTGCTTCTTTCAGTCAACATTATGTCATCCATGTTGTTGGGTCATGTCTTTTTAATTCTTAGAATTGTATATGGTGTGGGTAGTTTGTTCATCCATCCTACTGTTGGTGTCCACTTGGGCTGTTTCCGGTTTGGGGTATTAGGGGCAGTGCTAGCCCCCTGCTTGAATGTTTTAGCTTGTTCCACGTGCTCATGAGCGTCTCGCCAGAGGGAAGATCAGAACTGCTGGGTTGTCAGGCGCATTTATCCACAGCTCTACTAGAGGACAGCGTTTTCTCTCTGAAATTAGCTTCCTCAGGTTTAAATGCATTTTAGTAGTGGAGGAGGGTTTTCAGTGGTCCGCTTTGTCTTGTCCAACTTTTTAGTTTTTGCCTGTTTGGGGAGACTGTAATGGTTTTTCTTCATTTTATTGCTTTCTTTTCCTGGAGACTAATTGTAACTGACTAATTTTCTGTGCTTATTGGCTATTCCTTCTGGATCTTCCTGATAGTAAGTTCCTGTCAAGTCTTCTGCCCATGCTTTTCTTTTGCGTTTTGTCATTTTACTGATTTGCAGAAGTTCTCTTAACCGGAACACTTAATTCATTTGGATTTATCATAATTAATGCCACCTTTGTGTGTACATTTACCCACTTACTTTGTGCTTTTTACCCTCTTATTTGGAAAGAATTTTCCTGGTTCATTTAAGCTCCTTCCATGTTTACTTAGAGTTCATTTTGTTCAAGTCTCACAGCCCTTAATCTGCCCTTAATCTTCAAAGTTGAAGTCAGAAGACAAGGCTTGGTGATTGTTTCTAGCTAGAACTCACATTCTGACAAGTCCGCATATGCAGATTGCTCATTAATATGTCAACTAGTTGCCCAAGTCTGATTCTGCTGTGCTTGCATTTTCTCTGAAGTTCTTTTGCCAACAACTGTGCTTCAGGCAGAACCCAACATTTTTTTTTTTTCTAATGAAAGTGCCAGACAGAAAAGATCCCCCACCCTGTTCTGTACCCAGTCAACTGCTGTTCTTCTGGACTCTTCCCTGGGGGCTGGAATTGAAAATTTGGACTCGGTTTCCAGTTGAGCTTTAGTCTCCAAGTGAGATGTTTTTGTAAGTTTCTAATTAAATTAACAGTGGTAATCAGTTCATTGATAATACCCTATTGTGGCAGATAGTCTGGGTGGTGCTGATGCTGTGGATTAAAGAGGACAAGTGGTCAAGGTTTGTGTCCAGCAGAAGTTCACTGAGTGCCCACTGTGGTGGGAGATGGGCCAGGTGCTGTGCCTTGGAGGAAGCAAGCTTGGGAGGAAAGACTAGTGAACAGAAGCCCATCGCCAACCCTGTGACCTGTGCTGAGTGGGAAGGTGGTGCCAGCCTAGGCTCCGCCCTTCCTACTTTGAAGCCTCAGACAAGTTGTTTCACCTCTGTGAACCTCTATAACCAGATCAGTTAAGGGCTTCACCTTGAGTTCTTTTTAGGCAAGCAATTTTCTTTCATTTGTCTTTGGGGAGACTCACAATCCTCCTACCCTGTGAGGTGCGCAGGGTGCATAATAACAGTAATTATAAGAGTGCAACAATAATACGTACCTTGAATGGAGTCCTGGCACTCTGGGGCCAATCGTGTACCAAGCACTTTACATACATTATCTACCTTCGGTCTGACATCAGTCCTGCCCGACAGGTGTTATTATCTCAGTTTTATGGATGAAGAAACTGGGAGGCTGATAGAAGTTCAGTAACTTGTCCAAGATCGTTTCTACTGGCGGAGCTCTGATTAAAGCTTAGCACTCTTTTGGTTTTACATTATATCTGCATCATTACACTGTGCTGTTCTGATCTCTGTCGTCCATCTGAGAGGAGGGAGGGAGAGAGAGAGAAGAGAAAATGAATTCAGGTGATTTGCTTACAGTATCAGAGCCAGGAAGCTGCCCACATAGTATTCTAACAGACATGCAAGTTACCTAGAGTTCTTGTTAAAGTGCATTTCTGTTTAGCAGGTCTGACGGGCTGTGATTTTGCATTTCTAACGATTGATGCCCCTGGTCTGGGAGCACACTTTTAGGAGCAGGGTGTGGGACTCGTTTTTTGATCTTTAGTGGGAGGTTTCCGCCTCCACTGTCTCATTGCCTGGCAGAATCACTGTAAAGGTCACGGGGGATAACCTCTGTGAAAATACTTTAGCACATATTTCAACTACATAGTAATGCATGCGTTATGGCCCGTGTGTTGACAGAAATCAGCGCTCTCTCTCTCTCTCTCTCTCTCTCTCTCTCTAACATAAACTTGTCTCAGGTAAGCCTATTGACTTAGGTAAAATAAGGAATTTATTGACTCAAGTAAAGGAAAAATCCAGGAGTAATTCTGGCAGCCGATGTGACTGGATTCGAGGTCCAGTGAGATCATTAGCACTTGCTTTCTTTCCGCTCTGCCTTCTGCTGTCTGGGTTTTGTTTTACGGGCGCTTCCCCAGGTGGCCCTTGGCAGCCCCGGGCTCTCTCCTCTAGATGGCATGATAGCTTCAGTGCCTTCTGAAGCTCTGGCTTCTCATGCCCCCATTACTTCCAACAAGAGGGAGCCAGGGTTTTTTCCTACTAGCTCCGGGAAGAAGTTCTGAAAGTCATTCTGATTGGACTGGTTTAGCACACATGGCCTTCTTTGAACCAATCGTAGTGTCACAAGAGAAAGCTGTGCTATGATTGGCTGAGCCAGCCGTCACTTGCTCCATCCTCAGCCGGAGTGCAGACCCACTCAGACCCCTGGGGTAAGAACGGGGAGGAGGCTTCTGGGAGGTAGGCAGTAGGGCACTGTAGCTATTTGTAACTCTGGCCCAAATGGCCATCACATCGTGTCCCACCAGGATAGGCAGAGTGGAGGGAAATTCTGATTGGTCTTTTCTAACTTTCTCCTTTTGCCTACTAGGCAAGTGCAGGGAGAGCAAAGATAGATATTGTTGTTTTTTCATCTTCTCCTGATTGCTGTTGCTTCATTCCTGTACCTTATCTCCCCATGTGCAAGGTTCTATTCCTCAGGGCCTTTGGGGCAGAACTTTGCACATAATAGGTGTCCAATAAATGTGCAGAAATAATGAGGAAGAGAACCTCTGAAGGAACAAAAAACAAAACAAAACAAAAAAGTGTTTATTTTCCTGGACAAGGAGAATGAAAGATTGGAGTCTTTGCTGTTCTATAAAGTTTTCTGATAAGTTTAAGATCCTAATGTCCCTGATGCCCTTGGTGTGGAATTTAAGCCACTGTCACCTACTTACTGCATCAAAGAATTGTCAGGAATTTTCAGGTCCTTAGGCCCAGAGACTCATTTATTGGATTCAAGCTTCCCAGCAGTGCAGTGGGCAGAGGACCTGGTTCTGGAGCTGCTAACTCTGTCAGCTTCCTAGCCACAGAGAGCACTGCTGGCCCTGGAAATAAGTCTCATGGGTGATCCATGATACTCTCTGTTGGAAGATTAGGGAAATGGATGATTTGAGGTCTTTTCTGTGTAGGACACAGTATAATAGCTGTGATGAATATGGGACATAGTCCTGACAGGGGGAGAGCTTACTAATGCACAGGCTCTCTTTGTAAAAAATGATAAAAGATCTAAACACAAGTGCCTAAGTGTGGGGGCTTTTGGAGTTGGGTGCCAAAACGCAGCGAAGTAAAGAAGTGGGAGGTTCCAAGGAGGGTCTTGGAGGATGGGAGAATTGGCTGCACAGAGACTGGTTTCTAGGCAGGAGTCAGGTGAGAGGAGATGTAAGGCTGGAAAGCCAGTCATGTCAGAAACAATCAATCGGGAGTCCCTTGACGGATCTGGCTCTGAAGAGCTCCAGGCTGTCCTGGAAGGTGCCCACTTCTTTCCAGGACTCTGGAAGTGTGTACAGCAGCTGCAGAACTTTCAGAGAGCATGGTGCATCCTTGCAGCTTGCTGTGCCCTGAGGCTTTGGTCAAGGCCAGATGGGCCTCATTATCCCGCCTCTTTAGGTGGAGAAATTGAGTCCTGCGGGCAATGAGCCATGACCCCAGGTGGCCCTGCCAGTGAGGGGGCAGAGCCGGGGCTGCCGTTCGTGGGTTCAGATTCCAAGTTGCAGTGGCTCCCACTCCGTAGGCGGCACTGTCCTTGGACAGCAGGGAGCTTAGCATCTTACTGGGTCTTAGCAGCATCCAGGTTGACTGTGAGCGCTGTGGAGACCCGGGGGTGGCTGTTGAGCTGCATCTATGTCATAGAAGGCGTGATGTGATGATGTGATGATAGGGCCTCTGGGATTTGCTTCAGAATGATCTGAGGATCAGGGGAAAAGAGTGGGGTAAAAATACAAGATTGGGTAGAATTTTTGAAGACGGGTAAAGGATTTATGGGGTTCAATATAATAACTCTACTTTAGTGCACCTCAATTTTTTTGCAATAAAACGTACCCCAAATTTCATTATAAACCTACCCTTCTCTCTCCATTTCCACTTTTCTCGGGCAGTAACAGCCTTGTTTCATCTGCCCCCTTTTCACCACAGGATGCAGCTGGCCTAAAAGAAAGGTTGAAAGGATTTTCTTTGGGCTTTGAGAAGTCAGATCTGTTATTTGCTCATTTTTGGCTCCTTCTGTTCCCTCTGGGATGGCAGTTGGCATGGTGGTTGGTCAGGAGAGAGCTGAACAACTTGCTTAAAATAGTGCCGTGACCGCTGACCTCCGAAGGGTCGCAGAGCCGTCTTCGGCAGCCCCGGCACCCAGTGCTTGCGGCCTCTCTTTGCAGATCAGTGACTTGGGCCACCTCACGGGAGACCTGGGGTCTGAACAGGCTGCTGTGCTGGAAGTGGTCCCGTTTTGTGGCCAGGAAATAAGGGGCAGGGATGTGTCAACAAGAGGAGGTTCTTACAGCCCGCAAGGCCCCCCACAGGCATCTCTGACCCGGTGGGCCTGCGTGGTTGGTGGAGGGTGTTTCCACCTGCTGGCCTGCTCTGCCCGTCACCAGGGGACGCCTGGAGGGAAAGGCCTGCGATGACCCCAGGAACAGCTTTTCCTGGATGTCTCTATCCTCACCTGCCATCCTGCAAACCTGCAACACTTCACTTGCCCCTTCTGCTCCCTGACAAGGCCATCCTCCTCTTACTCCGGGCTCTCCTGGGTCTGGGCTGGAAGGGACAATCAGGGGAATTTGCGGTTTCCAGAAAGCAAAACCAAACTGGTGCATCAAGGCCCCCTTTCGAAGCAGAAAGTCCCCTGTCCAACCCCAAGGAAATTTTATTTTCATATTCTGAGACAACTGTGTACATTTAACCCAGATTGAGGGCACATGTTTTAGGCTTTACCTGTTCCCTCTATCCTGCTCGGCAGTGAGCTGTAGATGTGGCCTCCTGAGTGACAGCAAATCCCTTCACATGGACTTGGTCCCGAGGCCCCTCCCTGCTCTCCTAAGCCCCACTGTCCATCACGGGTTGGCCTCCCTGAAGGCAGGGTGCAGCAGGTCTCTGGGAGCAGTCGGTCTGGCTGTCCCCTCCTTGCTTCTCCGCGGCTGACTTCCACTGTGTGGCCACAGGTAGGTAGGTAGGAAGAAGACCCGCTGGTGGGACCTGTGGTGAATGCGCCCACCTCCAGGTGAGCCACTGTCTTCTACCTCAAAGGGTGATCAGTGCCCCTAGGTGAAGGCTCCGTGGACTGGAGCAGGGTGGGTACAAGGAGGCATCCTGGGCACCTGATTCCTTCTCAGCCAGGCCAGAGGCTCTGGCCTCTTCTTGGCTCAGCCTTGGGCTCTGCTCTGGCCCATTTCAAGCAGCTGAGGTTCTGGTCATTAGCCCACCTTCTGGGTGCCTGGTGACTTTCACATGGCGCCTCTATGAGATAATATGAGTGAAGGGGCCATTTGCCACAATTGTAAGATAGCTTTTTAAGTGAATATCCTAGGCCTTTTTTTGAATAGGGCAGTGATTAACTTTTTGTACTTCTACTTCTTTATGATTGCAGGGTCACTGTCTTCTCTTTGATTTTCTCTCCTTTGCATCTCAAGCTGACCAGAGATCCCACCCCAGCTGGGACATTTCACGTCTTTTCTGTGTCCCAGCCCTGACCTCTCACCCTGAAGCCACAGGCCACTCCCCCTTCATTCTCATCTTTGGTTTCTCTTATCCCAACCCTCAGTCTCAGCAGCAGAACAGATCGGCGGCCATGCTGCTCAGGGAACTCGCAGATTCCTAGTCCTGGCAGTGGCACATCTCTGGACCCGGTTTTCCCATCTGTAGAATGATACTTGCTACCTAACATTGGAATAGTTCTTAAGGCTTCCTGTTTTACATGGGGAAAAAATCGAGGATAAAGACAGCAGTTCATTAAATGTCTTTGTGCCCATGAACTTCTTTTTTAAAAAAAATCACTTGTACCCAGGCATGCTGATGCATGCCTACAATTCCAGCACTGGGGAGGCTGAGGCAGGAGGATCATTATGAGTTCAAGGCCAGCCTGAACTACATAGCAAGACCCTGTTTCAAAAAACTAAAACAAAATAAAAATTCATTTGTCTATTCAAGGTTTAGAAAAGGGCTTTGGGGGCAGTCCTGGTCCTCATCATCCGTGACTTATAGAAAGGGCCAAACCTTTGGGTTCCTAGCATTTGCAGCTATGACATGTGCCGCAGAATCACTTTGAGCATGGCTGACCCATGTGGATGAACACACTGGAGCAAGGTATTAAAAGGGTCATAGGGCATGGAAAGGAACCCGGACGGACAGTGTCTTTTACTTATTTATTTATTTTGGTACCAGGGATCAAACTCGGGACCTTGTGCCTGCCAGGCTGGCAGCGGCACCACTGAGCTACATCCCCGGCCCTAGACAGTGTCTATTCTTTAACGGCCTCTGTGACCCTGGACCCAGCACAACCCCAGAGTCCATGTATGTAAGGCACGCAAAGTGGTTGGCGACCCTGGCTTCGCCTCCACCCTTCCCTCCTCCGTACACACTCCTGTGAAAGAGCTGCATTCAGTGACCTTCACGCAGCTCTCCAAGCTTGGAATGCCGTCCTTCCTTTCCTCCCTCCCTTCCTTCTTTTCACATTTTAGGATTTTTTTTTTTTTTTAATTTGAGAGGAGAAGTAACAAATGCTGCGTAGCCAGCTCATGGGTGGTGAACCCAGGCTCCTTTCCCGGCTCGATGGATGCCTCGTGCGCCGAGCCCTCGGCCCTGTCCTGTTGCATGTTGCGCTGACACCCACATCCCTTGGATTGGACGTTATTCCTTCCTCGTGAAAGGCACCTGTCACCCTTTGGTGCCCCGGGCAGGGTGGAATCCTGTCACGTCTGTTTCCCTCTGGCACTCGCAAGGCCGCCTCTGATCTGACGGTGCTCTCTCTCTGACTTCCTAGAAACCCGGGAAAACCGTGGCTGCTATCATCCAGGACATCCACTCCCAGAGGGAGAGGGACATGTTCCGGGAAGCAGACAGGTGAGGCTTTGGCCTAGGGCAGACCCGAGATTCTTATTTCTCCCTCTCAGGAGGATTTGGGTGACACCATGCCTTGCCCCCGCCCCATTCGCTCGCCTTCCTGGCTCTACCTGTCTGTTCCCAGAGAAAAGCGCCAGTCTAGGCCAGCTCGGGTTCAGCTCAGGAAAAGGCAAGATGCTGGCTTCCTTTCCTCGGTTGTTCCTTTATCAGAAAGGAATATGGCGAAGGGTTTGTTAATATCGGACCCTTTGAGGCCACCTGCACTCTGCTAGTACAGCCTGAGCATACGTGTGTGTGTGTGTGTGTGTGTGTGTGTGTGCGTGTGTGTGTGTGGTGGAGTAGGGGTGCGAGCTTCTCGTTAGAGCCAGCTTTTGATTTCTCATGAGCTAAATGTCACTGTAGAAATAAGAATATAGATGGTTTTAAAAAATTTTCTTGAACACTTACTCTGAACATTGAGTGTATACTGTTTCCTGACTCATTTCTTCCACCTGAAGTTTGTGGCCAGCCAGGCCAAGCTGAGGATTCAAGGTGACGTTAACTGCTCCCCTGCCGTGGTGGGAAACAGCCAGGCCAGCCACCTCTGCAGTCTGTGGTTTTTACTCACCTCTGCCGCAGGTGGCGCTCTGGTCTCTCTACAGAAGGCAGAGCCCAGGCTGTTTCCCACGGTAGTGAGGGCAGTCTGGTCCCGCCTGGCAGACACATCTGTGTCCCACGGCCACTTGGGACAAATGGTCATCCTTCACTTAAGAACCAAATGGAAAATGCCCATTGTTTTAGGTTGGGGTATATGACTCAGTTGATCTGTGTAATAACCAGCTTTCAGCTTGCATATGTTTGTGTGTATTGAAATGTCCAGGCTTAGGGTATTTGTCTACTTTTTTAAAACTATGATTACTTGGGTTTTTAAATGGTGTGTGCACAGCCACACCATGCCTCCTGCAGCTCTGTGGCAGTGTGGAAGGAAATCTGCAGTCCTTTCCTGCATTTCAGTTTCTTTATCTCCAACACGAACAGGTCAAATTTCTGATTTTCTTCCAGCCCTCTTCCTGGTTCTTTATTTTTGGAATCACTGTCCTCACCCTCACCACTTCCCAACTATCAGTGCCCCTTTTCACATCCAGGATGTTGACAAATTGAGGTGAGAATTAAAGGATTGGGGTGGAGGCCCAGAGGTCCCCTGTCTTCTGATAGAGGCCATATGGAGGAGGGGTTTAGGTCTGACAAGCGAGGGCTGGGTGATTGGATCCCAGGTCCCTGCAGTCTTTCCCACCAGGCTGTACTTGATCAGCCTTGCCCCAGCCCCGTGCCCCACACGGCCCCAAGGAGGAAAGACAAAGGCCCATTTCCTGTGCATAACTCACTTCCAACAAAGCTAAATGAATCCAAGCATTTTTCCTACTCCCAGGAGTAGGATGAGGAAAGGGGCAGAGACGGGCCACCACTATGCTTAGGAAGAATCCTTCCTCATAGAAACCAGGGGGGAGGGTGACTTCTGACCACTCTCTGCATGTTCTGGACAGTTGTAACCAGGAGCTGGGCAGGTTGTGCCCAGTACATCCAGGACACAGGCTGTGGATGCTGGGGCCAAGTGGGGAGAATGCAGACTCTAAATCCCCCTTTTCTGCTCCCTCACAGGTATGGCCCAGAACGGCCGCGTTCTCGCAGTCCTGTGAGCCGGTCTCTGTCCCCGAGGTCGCACACTCCAAGCTTCACCTCCTGCAGCTCTTCCCACAGCCCTCCAGGGCCTTCCCGGGCTGACTGGGGCAATGGCCGGGACTCGTGGGAGCACTCTCCCTATGCCTGGAGGGAGGAAGACCGAGACCCCGTGCCCTGGAGGGAGAATGGGGAGGACAAGCGGGACAGGACAGACACATGGGCACACGACCGCAAACACTACCCCTGGCCCCTGGACAAGGCTGAGCTGGATGAGCGCCTGGAAGGAGGGAGGGGACACCGGGAGAAGTACCTGCGGTCTGGGTCCCCCAGCCCCCTCCACTCTGCGTCCAGCTACAAGTGCCGGGAGGATGGCTACTACCGGAAAGAGCCCAAATCCAAGTCGGAAAAGTACCTAAAGCAGCAGGATGGTCCCGGGAGGTCCAGGAGGAAAGAAGAGGCCAGACTACGGGAGAGCAGACACCCCCACCCCGATGACTCAGGCAAGGAAGACGGGCTGGGGCCCAAGGTCACTAGAACCCCTGAGGGCACCAAGTCAAAGCAGAGTGAGAAAAATAAAACCAAGAGACCTGATAGAGATCAAGAAGGAGCTGATGATAGAAAAGAAAGCAAAATGGCAGAGAATGAGGTAATGATGCAATTGCTTCCCCAGGTAAGGTGAGGCAGGTCCAGAGGAAAATAATGACAATATTATAATCATGACGAACATTTATTGAATGAATGAATGTTGATAGAGTGAATGAAACATTTACTGAATGTTTACTATATGCAGAGCTCTGTGCTAAACATGTCATCTCGATGAACATAACCTCACAGGAACCCTACGAGGTTGGCACTATTCTTTCAGCAGATGAAGAAACGGAGGCACAGAGGACTATGTGTTTCCCAGGAACATTCAGTCAGGAAGTGGCAGAGCCAGAATTATACCCAGGCAATCCAGCCCCAAGTCCCACGTTGCCTGTACTAGAAGTTAGGGAGGGATATGCAAAAAGCCCTCTGTAGTTCTGTTTGTCCAAGTTGGAGTGGCCCTGAAGTGCTTACGCCCAGAGTCTGCCGGAGGAGATTAGATCTTTGGTCCACTCCATCCTCTCTACTGCCAAAAGAATCTACCAATCTAGGATCTCTGATGAGAAGTGGTAAAGGAGAAGCTGCCTCCACCCCTTAAATTATACTGGGCGCCCAGGGTGTGGTGTGTTTTTTGTAGATACTGCCCACAGGATTTTAGTTCCATTTTAATAAAACACATGGCAACCGGCTGGCATTTTCACCCAAGTATCTAAAAGGAATCTGATTTGCTGAACTGCCTCACTTCACATGGGAGTTCAAGGGGGGTCTCTGGGTCCTGGATTTGGATTCTGACTTGACTTACACTTCCTTCGGCCAAAGCCTCCTACATTTAAGTGGGATGGGATTCTAGAGGATTGGAGCTCTGCATAAGGATCCTAATTTTTAAAATCCTAAATATATTCTAGTTATCTTGACCTAAGAGTTGGTGACAGTAAGTCCTGATAAGGAGCCCAGTTCTCAGTTCGATGAGCACTGAAGAGCCACACTTTGGGCCATGAATTTAGCCTTCGTTCCCTCATGCATGGGGCAACAGTGCCACTTTGGCAGGTGGTGTGCTAGACACAGGATGCCTAGCCGCGAGTGTGTGTGGCTAGGACATAGCCCATGTTATGGAAGAGCTCAAGGTCTGATGGTGGAAAGGGACCTGTAGAATAATTTATACACACTGGAACCATGGTGGAATTTACAGAGGGTGAGCTGTGCTGTGGGCAATTAACTCTGCCCACGGAAAGGAAGAAAGCTGAAAAGAAGAGGTGGCATTTGAGCTGGGTATTGAAAGTGGGAAGAAAGCTGTTTGGGATTCTTGGGAGAAGCAGTCACAGGACCAAAAATGAAAACAGAAGGCTGTTGTCAAGAAACTGTAGGCACTCAATGTGGCTGTATCTTTAGAGCGTATTAAAGGATAATGTTTTTCTTAAGGTAAAACTGTGACTAGTGTGAATGTATAATGAACACATGTCAAGGATTTTATTCAACTCATTAACTGACAGAGGAACCATGAGATATAAAAGTCAGCCCCAAGGAGACTCCAAATGGCAGACAGCTGTATAAGCATTCAGGACAATTGAGATGAACTTGCTAATGATATAAAACCAGCCTCTTCCAAACAGGACAGGGAATCAGTTGCTCCTCCACCAGATGAGATTCACTTGTACCTCAGTGGACGAGAATCATTTGGATTACGATCAGTGTTTTGCAACCAACAAAGTTGCCGAGTAGCTCAGTTTAAGATCATAAGGGGTGAGGAGCCCCGTGGAGTCAGATACCCTGGAAATGTGCTAGACACATGCCTGGCACTGTACTGAAAGGACTCCCAGTAATCTTTTTTTTTTTTTTGGCCCATTTCAAAGTCTGTCTCAGGTTTTACTGACTGGTTTAGCAGGGGGAGCACGGGAGATGGGATTAGGGAAGTGAGTGGTGTGTGATGAAGGACCTTGAGCGCATTAGATCCTGAAAGCCTGGTGAACCCCATAGGGCATCTTTAAGAGGTGTATATAGTGGGTCCTCTGTGTTCTCTGGGTCTGTAGCTGTAGATTCAAGCAACCACGGATTGAAAATACTTGGAGAAGAATTACATCTATATTGAACATGTACAGACTTTTTTCTTGTTGACATCCTCTAAGCAATGCAGTATTTTACATAGCATTTACAGCCCACCCACCTCTCTCCCCTCCTGGCTTTTCAGTATTGGTAGCACGGATCACCTAGTGCCCTTGTTTTGTTTCAAGCACAACCTCCACGAGGCAGGAGTTTTTCTCTGCCATAATCAATGTTGTGTCCCCATCCCTAGAGTAGGGCTTGGCACAGAGTGGGTGTTTGATAGGTATCTGCTGGAGGGCTGAGCCCAGACTCTGGAGGCGAAAGCCTGGGTTCTTAGAACCGGAGTCACACCCTGTTCTTCTCTGTCTCAGTGTTTTCACTTGTAAAATGATTGTGTTCATGGGGCTGCGGTTGTCCTTTAATGAGCTGTGCTCGTTTGAGACTGTCTGAGATCGTCAAGAAAGTGCTCACGGTAGAGAAGCCCGTATGTGTACTGCTCAGGGTGTGTGAGTGGCCGAGTCCGCAGTGGGACCCAGTCCTGACCACAGCCCTCTGGGAAGAAGGAAAGAAATGAAGCTACTGCATAGGAAGACCTGAGAAAGAAGCGCCCCTCCATCTTGGTGGAAGGAGGGGTCGAAGGTTACCGATCCGGACACCAAGGGACGGCAAGTGAGCCAGGTGGCGCAGGACCATGTAGCTAGGGGTCCAGGAAGAAGTAATGGGCTGTGGCAGGCTGAAAGGGTGGTTCCTCTCTGTGTGATCTCGCTTTGCTTAGTGCAAGGCCCAAGTCTGACTGGATGTCTGTGTAAAATCTCCCATGCTTTAGAAAATACACTGACCAGACATTCTGTGGGTCACACGCAGCCCAGGGTCTGCAGAATGCAGGCCCAAGTATAAACAGTCCAGAGTAGGAAGAAGCAGAAAAACTACTCATGCCCAGTCCAGAGCCCAGACATCGACCCCAGCATGCCAGGAGAAGGGTGTGAGCTTAGTACTCCCCCTACCCCCTTCTACAAATTCCACTCTTTTATTGACCAACATCCACGGAGCACTTAGCACAAGTCGTGCTGGTCTCCTGGAGCTCACAGGTTAGTGGAAAGACTGCTAATCAAGTCATTCCCAAATAGAAAGAAAGTATTTCCTGGGTGAAAAGAAGGAGATCAGATGGAGAGAAGAGCATGTACAAGGCTCCATCCACGACGAGAGGCCAGCGTTGCTGGAGCAGAGGGGCAGGCTAGCATGTTGGGAGTGAGCCTGATTTGACAAGAGGGACTACTCTGTGCAGGTCTTGCAGGCAGATTAAAAATTGTTTTGCCTTTACTCTAAACGCAAGGGGAAATCTTCTGGCAAGAAATTACAATGAGTATGTTATAGTTTTGTGTTTAAGGATGATCATTTTGATTCTGTTGGGGAGCCTTGGGGGTGGGGAACATACAGAGCAAAAGGAAAAGGCCAGATAGGTAGCTTAGCAGCAAGTAGCCCAGGCCCTGTGGTGGCAGAGCCCTGCTCGAAACTGTTGGGACCTAACATCTTGGTGTGTGGGTTGCGTTTGTCTGGTTCCTTAAGCTCAGCTCGCACCTTGAACTCACTTCATTCCTCGTGCCTCCACCTCCCCAGTGCTGGGATCACAGGCATGTGTCACCACACCCAGCGAGATTATGTATTTTGACAAGGGAGGGCCGTGGATTATTTATGAAGGGAGATAAAGAAAAATTAAGTGATAACTAGAAGGTTACTGGTGACTGCTTTACACTTAGCTCAGGAGACTCGAGCAAAGCTTTCAGTGGAATCTGCTACTCTGAGCACTTGAGGATTGGCGCCACCTGTCCTTCCGGTAGTAGTAACAAGTTGAACCAGTCAGCCCTGGGCACCTGCCCCAGCTGGCCCGTTGTCAGTTCAGGGAGGTAGGTGTGTCACTGCTTAAGCAATTAAAACTAGAGTCCTTTCCTTTGAACCAGCCTCAGCTACAAATGTCAAGAAAGTTCAGCTTGTCCCCGGAGAAGCTCAGGCATGGCCACTGACTTTAATGATGCAAGTCTAAGTCATGGGAGACAACCTCCCAGAAGCTTCTAAAGCAGAGCTTTGCAAGCCTTTTCTCCAGGAGACCAGACAAAAAATATTGTAGTCTATGTGGATCATCAGGCAAGACACAGGATTTTATGTGGGTACTTACACAGCCCCTTAAAAATGTCACTGTTCAAAATGATAAAACCCATCCTTAGCTCAGAGACTAAAAGTAGGCAGTCGGTCAGAGTTGGCCTGTGGGACGTAGACTGCTGATCCCTGTCTTAAAGGCTGCTGAGAAGCCATGTTGTCAAGCTAAGCCCCTGCTTTTGAGTGTTCAGCTTCTCATTCAGGGCGTCATGATGAGGGCCCTAGCTGGAAGGAAGAGAAGAAAGGACAAAGGAAGGGCGCGCCAGTTTGTTCTGTGACTTTGGGATGGAGAGAGGGCAAAGGAGTGGTTAGAAGGCACTGGCTGGGTGCCAGCTCGGTTCCCACTGCTGGGAGGCTGGAATGTGATTATTTATGGTCAAGGTGAGTCTGCTAGGGAGATGTCGCCGTGGCAGCCAATACCAAGGTTGGCCGCAGTCGTTACCCTCTTGGCTTCTGCTACTCACCCTCACTGCAACAAATGCCGCTTTTCCTGAGATGTCTGACCCCTGAAGACACCAGGCCAGCCTTCAGAACATTTCTCTGCATCCACCTGTCTGGGTGATCATGAGCAAGTTACGTAACGTCTCTGAGCCTCAGTTTTCTCATTCTGTACAGTGAGGGTGACAGCAGCCGCTGCCTCTGGGGAGATCTGTGAGGGAAAAGGAGATGATATATGTGAGATGCATCTGTTTTCAGTGTCATTCTTCTCTTGGTGCCCCCTCTTTTCCCTCCCCCTACTCACTGTTGATTTTGTGTTTCCATTCTTCCTTTCATAAGGCTGCAAAAGAAGAACAGGAGGGCATGGAAGAAAGCCCTCTGTCAGTGGGCAGACAGGAGAAAGAGACAGAGTTCTCTGATCCAAAAAATGCAAGGGCGAAGAAGGTGAGCATCTCCCAGATACTGGCAGTGTAGTCGCATCTGCATCCCCCCTCAGGGACTGAGTCACAGAAGTCCTTATCCTGTCTAGCCACCGGCCCTGCACAAGTGTGTCTTGGATGCCCCTGGTGGTTTCAGGAAAGGCCCAGTTACCCCCAGAACTTTGGGGGGAAGGCTTGGTTTGGGGTCTTCGGACAGTCTTTATTGGGAGATCTTCACCTCCATACCAGGGCCCTGCCTCACCCTCCATCTAGTTGGCTGTGCTCCCAGGAGAGAACATGTGCCCCAGAAAAGACTCGGGCTTTAAGAGCCAGGCTCCCAAAATAGTTAGGTTCCTTAGAGAGTACGGGGGACCTTGTTTTGGGTACTTGAGCTGGGGCCCTGACCTCAGCAGCCCAGACACTGGGATTAACAGAACATCTACTGTGCTTACAAAGATTATTTTACTTAATTAAAAAGAGAAACCCAGTTCCAGTCTTCCTGGGCTGAGGCTTCCCCAGCAAAAAAAATGTCCCTGGAATGTGGCCAGCTTTGGGCCTTTTCCGGTCATTGGAATCTGATCTAAATCTGTCTGCTGGGTCTGTGGGCTTCAGGGAACACCATGGGGAAAGTTTTAGGAGAGATTAAGTGTGAAGGCTGGTGTTACTTGGGCTCTGGAGGTTGTGCCCTTGCATGGGAGAGTGTGCTTGGACAAAGTTTGTAAGCATAGTTACCTTTGGTGATGCCTACATGTACAAGGAAAGAGCACCAGCAAATATTTGGCATTTATAAATTATTCATTCCTTCGAAAACTATTTTGTACCAGGAGTTGAAATTCTTGTTACCATTTCAAACATGTTGAGTTTGAAGGAGTGAGGACTTGTACTAAATTCTGCACCATTTTGGACCTTGTCCTAACTAAGGATGAGTTGCTGGTGTGGGATCTGAATGATTCCCAGCTTCTAATTACTGATTGTTCCCAGGCAGAAGGAAGTCAGCTCAGGATCTTTCAGGCTTGAGGGTCCTCATGGCCAAGGCTTGTGCCTTCTGGTTGAATGGGCTCAGTCACCCTTGATGTCCATTCTGGAAATTTTTTTACAGGAACAAGATTGGGAGAGTGGAAGTGAGGCAGAGGGAGAGAGCTGGTACCCTACCAACATGGAGGAACTGGTCACGGTGGATGAGGTGGGGGAAGAAGAAGATTTTATTATGGAGCCAGACATCCCAGAGTTGGAAGAAATTATGCCCATTGACCAGAAAGACAAAATCTGCCCTGAAATCTGTCCCTGTGTGACGACCACCTTAGACTTGCAAATGGCCACAAATTTGGATTTCATTAACGAGGGAGTAAAGACCATCGGGAATGGGGCTACAGAAATTGGCTTCAAGTTGCCCGGACAACTGCCTTCTGCTTCCATGAGCTGTCCCAGTGACACGAACGTGGAAGTGGCTGGCCTAAATCTGGATGCTGAGCGGAAGCCAACTGAAAGTGAGACAGGCCTCTCACTGGAGGGTTCCAACTGCTTTGAGAAGGAGGCAAAGAGAGCGGAGAGCTCAGATGTGTGTCTGGCCCCTGCAGCCCAGCAAATGTCTTCTCCCCAGCCAGCAGAGGACAGGGCCCAGCAGCCTAGCCCCCTTCCGGATGACTGCAAGGCCAAGGGGATGCTCGAAGATGGGGCTTGCGAAGGGAGTCCCCAGGAGGAGGAAGCCAGCCCCCCCACCGAAACTGACCTCCAAAGCCAGGATTGCCAAGGAGTGGTGACCGAGGGTAACTACCTCCCCTTTTCTCATGGGTGGTTGGGTGGACTGGCCCACTGCTGCCCTCAGGAAGTGTGGGGAGGTACAAGCTGGAACAGAGCTAAGTGAGCTTTCACCTCAAGTTAAAGCTAATACAGGAAGACGTGTACGAAAGGGAGCAAGCCCAGTTAGACTGTTAGAGCTTGCAGGCAAATATCGTAAAAGACACTAGTCGGGAGGCTGTATGTCCTGAGAACCCAGATAAGCTACACTTCTCTGTATTTCTGGGGGCCCAGATGGGCTTGGACAACTAAAAGTAGGTCCCTTGGGATCAGCCAGCTGGTCTTTTGTGCACAGTGGAGGAGCCCCCAGCTGTCATTTCTGTGGTGGGAGGTGAGAAAGGAGTGGATGAATAGGGCCTTGTTAAGGAATACGGTTTGTTTCCCTCTTTCCTCCTCAGACCCAGTTTCTCCAGGGTCTTACAGTGACACGGGACTTAGCCTGGGAGCAGCTCTGCCTTTCTGCCTCTCTCCCTCCACCAGAGGCAGATGTTGTGGCTATGCTCGGCACCGTGACATCATGAAATAGAGAGTTTAAAATAGCCTATGCCCTGGCTTCTCTGCCAAGTGGAAACTGAGATCCATCAAGGGCTCTAGGGGGAGAGAAATAGTAGTAGCCCTTAAGGTTCTCGTAGTGAAAACAACTAGAGATTCATTTTACTGAAAGCTTGTGGCACAACCAAGGTTGACGCAAGAGTCAGAAAATAGAGAGGAGAAGCTGAAAAATACACATCTCTGCTGAGAGCCTTGTGGGCGGCACAAGCTGGCAGGTGACCTCATGCTTGGACTTGCCTCCATGTCAAGCTGACCGGAGCTGTTTTTCACCTGCTCAGATTTGTATCTCCATGGTAACCATGCCATGGACTGCCTATTTGTTGCTAGAGAAACATGGAGACCCACATTGGCTAGAGAAAGAAGAATAAAGGCAGACTGATGTTCGTACCTCGCTCCGATTGAACCCTTTTATTTTGCAATATAGGTCTCGACATGTGCTGGCTGTCATTAGCAGTTTATTAGCTTACTATGGTGTTTGGAGTTCATATTTAATGACACCGCTTCATGGGCCGGGGGTGAGAATGGCACAGCCTTTTATGTCAGCCTCAGTGGATGTCAGCACAATTTTTGCCCTTCAACACTTCCTTTGTTTGCAGAGGTGGGGTGATACTGACTTGGGGGGTGAAGGGGCTGGATCATCTCAACTGAAGGCATTAAAAGCCCATCCCCCCAGGCCAAGTGCAAAGATTTGCCAAGTTTTTTTGTGTGTGGCATTTTCTTGGCAGTGGAAAAGACTCTTAATTATAGCGCTTTAGTTCTAATTAGCAATCACGCCCCCAGCCTCGTGTGATGAAGCAGTCCGAGGGACAGTTCCCAGTCACCAGCGCGGGCAAGAGAGGTACAGGGACTCTGGGAGGCTGCGTTTCATTCGTTTTTTTTGCCTTGGCCCATGTTTTACAGAAAACTCCAGGTACACGGAAATGAAATCTCTGGACGTGAGATCACCGGAATACACCAAAGTGGAGCTGAAAGAACCCCTTTCTTTGCCTTCGTGGGAGCCAGAGGATGTGTTCAGTGAACTTAGCATTCCTCTAGGTAGGTGAAACACAGTCTTTCTTGCAACCCAGCTCCAGGAAATGACAGTTCTGTAGCCATTTCTAAGAGCTTGAGAGGCTTTCTGTCATTCCGCTGTTGTTTTTAATATATGATGGAATAACCTAGAATTTCAAGTTGAATTTCGTGCAGTTTTGGTCTCCCACAGTAGGCAGAGACTCCCAGGACCAGCCCGGAGCAGCACCATGCTGGGAATCCAGAGCCGAGTCCAGTTTTCCTTGTTATAGAAGGCTTTGTTCTTGACCACACAGCGACTGTAAGTCCAGCCGTTATTCAGGAAAGGAAGCAGAGGCCCAGGGCCTCCAAGGAGTCAACAGAAACAAACCTTGACTAAGCCAGGCACGGTGGCACACAACTGTAATCCCAGCACTCAGTAGGCTGAGGCAAGAGGATTGCCGTAAGTTTAACATCAGTGAATCCAAAACCAGCTGGACTACATAGTGAGACCCTATCTCAAAACAAGCAAGCAAGCAAACAAGCAAACACACAAAATGAATCTTTTCTGCTGCTGCCCTTCCTCTTCTCCATGTTTCCAGCCCTTCCGAGGACAGTGCTGCCTTTTCTCTCAGTGCAGAATCAGCTTCTCTCTGGCATTCAGGGACCCCGAATGGACTGTGTTGGGGGCGGACCAGACCCTTGATAAAGGGAGCACTGAACGTGGAGAGACATGGGTCCTTGTGCTTCCTATTCCATCTGTGGGTGACCGCGTCCCCTCAGACAAGCCACACCCTCCTGAGTCTCAGCTTCCTGTCTGTCTTGTGGAGTTGGACCAGATCAGTTGTTCTCCAAGAATGGAAACGTTGGGGTGGGGCAGGGCGGGAGTGTGAGTGTAGCGAGAGAGGCACCAGGATGCATTTTCAGTCTCAGGATAAGGAGAGAAAGTACTTTAAGGACGTTTCCTGGGATGTTCCCAGCCAGTATCATCCCTGACTGCAATGACTCTAAAAGCTAGGGAAGCAGTGAGATAAAGGAGGAGGAGCCGTTGCTCAGAGGGAGGAATATGAGAGAATAAGGCTGGGAGGTGTCACATGAGAAAGTGTCACAAGCACGAAGCCAGCGACTACATGTGGGCTCATCCGCATTCAGCTGGAGGCGCACCCTTTCCACCCAAGCTTCTCTCTTTTCTTCTCCTTTTAAAAAAAATCTCCCTTTTTCTTTCTTTCCTGTGTACCACTTTTGTAGTCAGCTTGGAGAGCGACTTCCCTTTCGTTTGTTTGTTAGGGACATACTTGTTGCATGGCATATCTCCAAAGACAAACAGTTGGACTACAGGAAAGTCAGGCCTTGGCACAAATGGCAGCGGCTCCAGTTGTGTAAATCCCAGCCTGCACACCCTTGTTGGGAGACGTGACACTACTGGGTGCTGTGGGGGAAGCAACAATACAAGTCCCCCGTCCTCCAGGGACTTGGACTCAACTGACACACGCAAAAATTAAGAGTGAACTCTGCTTCCTCATAATTCGTGTCTTTGTATTACTGTTTTCCATTAAAGAAAGTGTGAAAAATTATTGGAACAAATGAAAAAAAGAATAACCATATAAAATCAATGTTAGAGACTTTTTCTCTCTCCAGTCTGTGCCCAGTGTTCTGAGGTGGCTCCTGTCATGCCCGTAGATAATTTCTCTCCTACGAAGATGGAATTGCACTGTATACATCATGTTCTGAGATTTGCTCTTCACGACTAATAGCGGGTCTTAGAGATCTCTTCACGTCAGTAGGCAGAGAACACATTCTTCTTAAGCACCGCAAATAGTCCCTCATAAAATCTCTACCATAAATTGCCAATTCTTTTCTCTGCTAGCAAGCATTTAGGTCGCTTAATAATGTTCAGTTTTTCCATTGCAAAAATGCTTTAACAGCTAAACTTTTATTGTAACCACTCGCCATATGGGCAGCATTTCTCTTGCTTGGACTGTATTATTTCATTTAACTGTCTCAGCACATTTACAAGGCAGGTATTTTTGTTCCCGTTTACAGAGGAAATCTGAGATGCAAATTCTCAAAGGTACTGCCTGGCAAAGGCTAGAATCAGAATCTAAGTTCTAGCGGTCTGTTCTTAGCCTCTGTCTCCTGCTGCTTTCTAGATGTGCTAGTTCAGGTACCTTTGTGAGCGCCAGCGCTTCTGCAGGGCAGGATGCTGGGGGGTGGGGGGTTGCGCGACCATATGCATTTGCATTCAAAACCTTTGTAATTGCTACTAAATTGCACTCTACAAAAATGACACCCATCTTCACTAGTACCTTGAGGGAGAGTTCCCATGCCTTGTCTCCTTGACAACTTGATAACCTGCCTTTTTAATCTCTGCCAACCTGTTAGGGAGGAAAATGGTGTCTCATTTTGTTTTCAGACAGCTATATCGAGGTTCAGTGACACACAGGGAAGTACACACGTTTAAGTGTGCAGTTCTGTTAGCTCAGACATACGTGTGTACTGGTGAGGCCATCACCGCCATCAAGATAGTGAACATGTCCATCACCCCCAAATACTCTCATATCCCTTTGTAATCCCTCCCTCCCCTTACCTCAGCCCTCATCAGATAGACACTTACATGTTTTCTGTCTCTAAACAGCAGTTTTCATTTGGGGGAGCTCTGTGTAAAGGAATCCTACGATGTGTACGGGTGGGCTTTGCCCGACTTCCTCCACTCAGCAGAACTGCCGTGCGTCTGTATGGCTGGGTGTGAGGGCGGTGCCTTTTGGCGGTTGAGGAGCACTGCATTGTGGGTACGGGTAGACGATACGCCATTTATCCGTGTGCCTGGTGATGCACATTTGGGCTGTTCCTGGTTGTTTTTAGTTCGCTTAGCTCATTGGTCCCCCCCAGGGAACGATGTAGTACTGTTTTCTGAATCTGGCAGGTGAGCAAACTGAAGTCCAGAGATGTTGTCAGAATCACAAGTTCAGATTTGAGGGCAGGACTTCTGATCTCTGACCACCCTGCCTTCCTGTTCAGGCAGCAGCACAGCGTAGGAAAGGAGTTTCTATTCTGTGCAGAAGTTAAGAGTTCTGGGTTGGGTTCAAACCTCATCTCCGTTACCTGATGGCCGGGTGACAAAGAGCAGCTTGTTTAACTTCTCAGCTGTAAATCAGACAGTGATTGATAGAAGCCACTGTGCTGAGTTTGACAGTTGAATGAATGAACACGTGTCAGGTCTCGGTGCCTTCCAGTAGAAAATACTTGCTAAGGGTTGTCTGTCGTTTCTGTTCATTCATGAAGTATTGAGACCTACTCCTTCCTCTTCCTGTGGCTGCCAGCCTTTCACCCTGCAGGATTGGTCGCTCTTGGCCAAGAGAGTCCCATAGAGGTGAGAGACAGTTTTCAGGCTTTGTCCTTAGGAAGAGCGGGGAGGTGAAATGAGGGGTGCTGAGGCCTGGGCATGCACAGGACATGGCTAGGGAGGGCGCTGCCTGTACAATTCGGGCCAGCTCTGCATGACCCTGCCAGTTTGAGCATGCCAAGGTCTGCCCATACCAGAACCCAACAGCATCGCCAGCAAAAATGTGAGCTTCCCCCTCTCTCCATCCCAGGCTTTACTAGGATGGCAGTGTCGCAATTACCCATGCCAGGAGCTATTATAGGAAGGCAGACGCAGCTTTGGTGATCGCACTTGCTGGAGGCTGGGAGTAGGAGGGCCCGTTGGCTCCGGAGTTGGTCAGGCCGCCGCAGTGTCTCTTGGTCCTGCGATGCCACACCCCCCATCCTCAAGGACTCCCAAAGCTGTGGTGTGAAGACCTGTTTAATATGTTTCCAAACGAACAGAAGAGAAAGGAAGACATTTCCAAACTTAAATATTTTTTGAGCACCAGGCAGAATGACAGGTGCTTCCCCATAGTGCTGTCTATGGTGTCATCATTTCTGTTCTACAGATGAAGACACTAATCTCAAGAGGTTAAATAATGTGCCTGAAGCCACACAGCTTCAGTAAAAGCACTAGGCCTATCTGAGACTACATGCCATTTTCTCTGCACTATGCTGTGGTTTCTAGTCTTTTTTGATTTTATTTTTTATCCCTTCTCAGCCTTTTGGTTAAGATCAAGTGTAATTTTATTTTTTATTGGGGAGTGGGCAGAAGAAGCCTTTGCTCTAGTTAAGTCTTACCCAGAAGCCCACAGAACATGGCTGCTGTGCTGTGGCTGACAAGGGCGATGGCCATGACTCACTCCGGGCTTCAGGCTCTGCAGAGGCTTAGGAGACAGCTGTGCCCTTGCTGGGTCCCAGAACAAGCCTCAGCTAGGCTGTGGAGGGAGCCCCAGGGCTCTGTTCCAGCGCAGCCGTGCTGGCTGGCTCGTGTGTAAGAGGTTGTGCCCTGATCAAGGCCCTCTGGCGGTGCTCTTCCTGCCCCGCTGCCCTTCTCTTGGAAGGCGTGGACCTCAGCTCTCTGTGCAGCAGCAGCCAGTGGAAAACTGTTTTGCAGCAATGGAGGAAGAAGGGAGATCGTGCCTAATGCTTCTTTCGAGCAACAGCCAGGAGCCTGTTTGAGAGTTGGAGGGGACAGCTAGTTCCCAACCGGCCACTTGCCCATCTATCCTCTGTGGCCATGGGGAGAGGAGGAGGGGGACCATAGTAGAAGGGCAGCAGAGCTAAGCGATGCCCTCCCTTCTGGAGACTGCTGCTGACCCAGAACACTCGGCCAGCTACGTGGCAGCTAGAGCACACCCAGGCCAAGGAGACCTCAGGCCCCAAGCCACAATTTAACGAGCAGTCAAGGCAGGGCTCTGTTGGGGGGGCTCTTGGGCTCCCTCCCCGTCTCCTTTCTTCCCTGGGGTTTGTAAGCACTTAGCTTAGTCCTGGAAGGCAGGAGGAAGAAAGTGAAGGAACAGGAGGAGCCGGAGCTTGTGGTCCAAAGGCATCCAGGGCCCTCATTAGTAGAGACCTGGCCATCTCCCTCCTGGAGAAGCTTCTGCGTCCCTTGTGTCCCACCTCTCCTGGTGCTGCGCACCCCAGCAGAGAAGGGAGCAGCTGTTCGGCCTCCATACAGCACAGGCCCCCAGGCTTTGCCCCTCTGCTCCAGCTCCCTGACATCCTGCTTGTCACGGCTCTCTTACTCTGCCATCACTGGAGTGTGACTGTCAGGTGCCCTGTGTGCAAGGCATGTGTGTTCACTCCCACTTTCAGAGGCAGAACCTGAGGCCCAGGGGCAGTTTGGTTCCCCTGCCCCAAGTTACTTAGATCCTTTGCCTCCGACCTGGACCATCTCAGACTAGCTCTTTCCTCAGGAGGAGAACTGTGACCTTGTAAACACCCTCAGAGGCCGTGCCAACCACCGTCACTTCAGAGATGACCCCTCCGGCTGTAACACTGTCCCTCGGCCTCTTTCATCTCTCAGAATCGAAAGGTTTCCCAGAGTTCTGGGACTGACATTTAATGAGTCATGAAAGAATTGCTATTAAGCGATGGATCCAATGTAAAGAAGGTGGGAGAAGGTGCACGGTACACAGTTTTGTGAAAAGGGAGGATTCAGAATTACGTTTAATCATACAGCATGATTAAAACTGCTGAAAAAGAAAGGGTCCCACATAGGTGAATCACATGGAAGGAAATATTTGGATTGGGACGATTCTGGGTGATCCCCCCCCTTCTAATTATTTAAAACTTTTTCATTTAATAATATAATTCTAATATAATATAATTCTAATTTAATAACATAATTCTAAAACAAGTTTTAAAAACTGAGAGAATTCTCTCAGAATCACAATAGCTGCAGAGAAGGGTACAGTGTGGAGAAATAAAATCCAAACAAGTGAAATGTCAGCACCGGCCTTCCTCCGCCTTACCCTGGGAGCAGTTGGGTCAGAGAGCCTGGTCCTCAATTCTCAGAGGCAAGAAACCGAGCTGGTGATTGCTAAGTCCTCGCCACCTGCGTCAAGCACAGCCCTCAGTCCCACAGCCTGTGGACGAAGCAGGTTTTGTCCCTGTCTGACTGTTCTGCAGGAGGAGACTGAGGTGAGGCCCAGTAAAGCTGGGGAGCCAGCCGAAGTCAACAGGGACTGGGGAGTGGGGGTCCCCGCTCCCGTTTCCCCTGATGGTTTGCAGGGCCGCTCCCCAGTGCAGTCCTAACTAACCCCGCACATTCAACCCCCTCTCTGTCCAGGTGTGGAGTTCGTGGTTCCCAGGACTGGCTTTTATTGCAAGCTGTGTGGGCTGTTCTACACCAGCGAGGAGGCTGCGAAGGTGACCCATTGTCGCAGTGCCATCCACTACAGGAACTTGCAGGTAACTGTCAGTCCTCCTTGCTCAGCACCCGGGGGTGGGGGCAGCATCCACTCTCACACCAGGCCTCCAGAGTCTTCAGCTTTGCTCACCCTGGTTATCGGCTCCCAGCACTGGGAACCCGTGGACACACGAGCACCCCATTCCCATCGGCTTCTGCGAGTTTCTGTTTCCTTCACCTCGTGGACTACTCCCAAATCCAGCAGGCTCTTCCACATGGTGGCTGGCTCAAATGGGCTCCCAGAGCATCCATGTCCACTGTGGTACCTGCACCACTCTGCTGGGCCTGGCTTTCTAAACATTTGCCTCCCCAGCGAGATAGAGCCACTCGAGGTGGGTTGGTGTTCTCCTGGCCCAGGGCAGGGCTGACTCCTTGCCACCAGCCCTGGGTGTTTGCAGCTGCTCATATTTTTGTTTCTGTCCATCTGTGCAGCTCACCCTGTTCGCTAAATAAGACCCACAGTTGTGTTCTATTTAGATGTTCATCCAGACAGCATGTAATTATCACAAGCCAACTGGTTACCAGTGTTGTAGGCTCTGGGGATACAGCCACAAAAACGGACAAAATGTCTTCTTGGGGCTTCTGTTCTAATTTAGGAAACAAGTAATAAATAAAATAAATGCATTGTATAGTATATTAAACGTTCACAATAAAAATATACTATGTATCATATTTCATCCAGTCTAAGGTGCTATCATCTGTAAGACTCAGCTTTATTGATGTGGTGCTGGGATCAAACCCAGGGCCTCAGGCACTCCAAGCACAGTCTCCACTGCTGAAGTCACATCCCCTCTCCAACCTGGATTTTTCTGCCACTATCCTAGAAAAGCCAATGCTGAAAATTAAACAGTGAGACTCCATCGATTATAAAACACATTTTGATTTCACAGATGTTATTACATTTTAAAAAGAATCAACCATTTCAACATGGTAATACGTTCCACAGTGTATAGCCCACCCGATATTCTTATATTTGTGTATTTATATTTTCGGTATATTTATAGTATATAAAGTGTAATGTGTGGTTTTCCGAATTAACTTCCGGCAACAGCTTAGTTTAACAGAGACAACTGACCATCTTTCTTTCTTTATTTTTTTGGTTTTTTTGAGACAGGGGGTCTCACTATGTAGTTGAGACTGACCTGGAACTCACTGTGTAGCCCAGATTGGTCTAGAACTCACAGAGATCCTCCTGCCTCAGCCTCCCAAGTCCTGGGATTACAGGCATGCGCCACCATGCCTGGCTGGCAACTGACCATCTTGAGGCGTCTCCCATTTTTGCTGTAAGAGTCAGACTGGTTGTTTTGACCTGGTTCGGCGCAGGAAGTCCCGTGGTATCTGTGCTCTGATTCTGGGTCCGACACTGCTGTCTGAGGGACAGTTAGAATGACTGATCTAGTGTTCTCAGGCAGGGATATGAACTAGAAACACCTGGACAGTACTTTGAAAGTCCTTGTACTGGGCTAGATATTCAGTAGGCTGGCATGAGAGGCAGGGATACATAACTGGAGAAAGTTCTCCAGATGACTAGAAAGTACAACTCTAGTCAGGAAATTCAGACATGGCACCAACTCTCTTGTTCTATACTTGAGGAAACTGAGATTCAGAAAGAAGCTGTGTGATTTGTACAAGGCCATGCAAATGGTGAATTACTGGGCCCAGGACCGGATCACCTGATTCTTAATCATTTTCCTCTTTTTACTCTACTAAGCTGGTCTTGGAAACAGACCCGTGATGTCCTGGCCTGGGTTACCGTTTGTACTATCCTTGGCCGTGCTTGGCTGTGCTGAAACCCCAGTCATTCAAGCCTCTTGATTTCCCTCTGGAGAGCAGCTGTTGTGACCGCGGCAGCCACAGGTCCAGCCTCTCCTGGGATGGGGGAGTCCTTGACTTGGCCAGAGCAGAGTTCAGACTGAGGACAATGCTGAGCCCAAAGACCTCATCCCGTTCCCAACTCCATGAAACCTATAAAGTGCGGGACTGGAATGGGTCCTGGAGGTCCTGATTTCCCCAAATCTTTTGTCCCAGCCTGCATCTTTTTTAAAATGTAGCTTGCTGGATTCCACTCTCTACCTGCTACCTCAGTACCTCTAGGTTGGGCCCCAGAACCCATATTTTATTTTATTTTTTAATTGAATTTATTGGTACATTCTAGGTAGATAGTACAGTTACATTCATTACTGGGATCTTGTACGTTTATGCCACATTG